GATCCCCGCGCTAGCGCGTTCGCTCGCCCGACTATCGCACGGTAATCTGAGTTTCTGTTGCTGTTTTCCGTGTCGCTGATTGCCGCGTCGCGCGCGCGCGCGCAATAACTTTCGCGCCACCGTGAATTTTTCCGCTGGTTTTTTCTTCCCCGCACTTTTTCAAACCCTGCTTTCGCCGGGCACGCGCCCGTCGCTGTATTTGTGAATATACATAATACACGTGAATGGGGAGGGTGGGGGNCGCGAGGACAAATACGAGTGCCGGGAGAAAATGACGGCGTTTCTCGCGGAAATCAATGTTTCTGCGCTCGCTCGTTAGCTCGCTGGTTTATTCGAGCACGTGTCCGGCGCGACGAAACAGTTTCCGTTTTAAACGGCCGGGGATCGATTCGATTTAACGTATCATATCTATCTAGAAAATAAACACCGGGCCCCCCTTCCCCAATCGAATTCCCACGTCCTCTCGCCGTGTCGCCGTTGAAAAATAGACACACCTGCGAAATAGCGATCTTCCCCCCCCCCCCCCCCGGNGTATTATTTTTTTCACTGTTTTTTTTTTTCATGTATAAACGGCGATGTCCCGAGCGCGCGCGGATATTTCGCGCTGAAGGCAAAAGGGGGAGAGAAAAAGCTGGAATAATATTGCTCGAAATCCGTCGGGCGTTTCATCCGTTCTCGTATCCGGCGTAACTAACCTGGCGTTGTAAATATGCCGCGGGAAAATAATCAGCAGGAACGATTACCGGTCATTCCGTCGGATAAATCATCAAACACACTTCTATTGGCGATCCGAGCGCGGCGTGAGACAACGGGAAACACACTGTGAGGAATTACAGGTTATTTTCAGCCTCGGCTATGTCCCTCTTGCGGTTTTGATCACGAAAGTAGTAGCAACATGCGTGTCAAGGTATTATATCACTGATCATAAATTTTTTTACTGCAATGATGGCAGTTACAAATAAAGTGAGTGTCCCAATTACTGGCGGAGCAACCTCATTGTGAAAATAAATTAATAAATTTTAATAATAATACACGTGTTATGAGTATATAACATGAATTTTGTTCGAAAGTTTAAACATTTGGGATTATATTGTATTGTATTGTATTAGATTTTTTTTTATTTATGGTTAAGTTTTAATTTACATGTTCTCAAAAATAACGGAGGATAACGGATATCATTTCGTGACATGTAACTTTAATTTCCCCTTTTATTGTTTCAATTTGACATGAATGTATGTCTATATTATTGACAGATATCGAACGTGTACAGCCGTATTATTGATAGAATAACATTCATTATATGAATGTCACAAATTGCTACAGAATCATGAACGTTCCTATCACTGATTTAAACGTGACTGTTTATAGACTAAAAGCTTATATATATGTATTATTTGTAAAATTTTAGATGAATAAGTTGTAATCTTGATACTGTTCCTTAACTTTCACGGACATTCATCTTACTAAATATTTTTCTCTCAATGTACAAAAGAAAACGTCGCAAAGACAAGAAAATAGACATTCTAGAGTTAACCATCTAAGAATATGAGTTACATATATTAGAAAAAATTAAAGTGAGCGTAAAAATATAGATAGAAAGAAAATATAAACGAAAAGTAGTTCTCGTGAAGGAGAGAAGAAGAGAGAGAGAGGGAAAGCGTTTCGAGGGTATCTCGAGGATGTTTCCGAGAGGCAAGATTTTTTTCTCCCTTTTTTTTTTTTTATAGAAATCGCGATCAACGCTCTAGTGTGGACTTCATCGAGACCTCATGAGTCTCGCAGATTGCCCCCCCCCCCTTCGTACCTTCATACCTTTTACTTACTCATACCTCGAAATTCTTCGATCTTCTCCTCGGAGCACCGACAGCGTGCCTCATCGTAATCCTCCCCGTTGTCGTCGTAGTGGCCGTCGCGCCGGCACGCGTGCAAGGAAATAAGAGTAAACAGGCGACGGTCGTGGTTGTATGTAGCCGGTATTATGCAAGCTTTCCACTTGAGAGGATAATTTTTCAAAGGGCCGTCGCCGGCGTGGCGCCCCTTTTCGGCTCGTCTTCGTTTTGCGGGGGAAAAAAAGGCGTAGAGCAGCGCAAGAAAGCGAGAAAAAGAGGTACGCGCGAGGTGAGAGAAAGAACGAGCGACGTGGGACAACAAAGGACGGGACGAAAGAGAAGTCCGTCTCCTCGCGGACACCTCCTGCGCCTTCCGGCACTTTTTTCGCCGTCGCCTTTTTTCGACCCCTTCGCGGTCCACCCTTTCCTCCGCTCGTCCGTTCGTTCTCTCTTTTGCGACATTTTTCTGGACCGCTGAAGCACGAGTCGGCCATCCCCGTCGTCGTCCTCTTCCTCGGCGAACTTTGTCGCGATCGTCCTCCCCCCTCGATCGACCCTCTCTCGGGTCCTCACGATCGACCTGGCGATACCGTCACACACGACTGTTGCACGCTCGTGGGGTTTGTGAAATTTTCAAGTCGATAGTGCGCCCCTACTCTCTCCTCCCAAAATACACAGTGCTCCTTGCGCTGCAATTTCCCCGCGTTGTTTTCTCGAATTAATCGCCTCGAAATGCCAGAAGGCACAGTTTACCTTTACCCCTCTCGGGCTGAAGAGAGAGACAGAGACGCAGAAGGGGAGGGAGTATTGCGCAAGTTACCTCTGATTATAATTATACAATTATAGCGCGTCTCTCGTGCAGCTCGTTGGTTACATTGCGGAATTGTTCGGGCGACGGGCAACTCCTTCTTTTTCTCCTTCTCCCTCTTCTCGCAAGAATTCTCAGTCGCAGGCGCAACTCGCCCTCTCGCCTCCCACCGTTCCCTTGCGGGTAAATAAACATACCGGCAATGCTCGGTACTGATCGGAACGATAGGCCACGGAATCGTATCAATTTGAGATCTCACTCTCTCGTCACTTTTCATCCCCCCCCCCCCCCCCCCNNCCCCCTCCCACTCTCTCTCTCTCTCTCTCTCCCTCCCTCGCGTCAGTCGAAGCGATGCTCGTGGTCGTCGTCGCCGGCGGCGACTCGCGAATTAAACTCGCCGGATTTCTCTCGAGCTTTTTGATCACTGCCGCGGAAACTTGAACTACTTCCTTCCCAGCCGCGAACTCCCCCCTTTTTTTTTCTCCCCGGCACCTCCGGAGCGCGCCTCTCCTCCGTAGCCCCATCGATCGTCGATTAAGGAGGACGAGCAGCGCACCGTCGCCTCTAACTCCGCCGCCGCTACGCGAGCTTTCACGGGTAAAAGCGCGCTCGCCGAGAAGCTGGCGTAAGCTGTTAAGGCTTTAATGGAGCGAGCGTGTAGATCCGGGGAGCCTGCGGAAATCCGCAGGATTTCTGAGGTCGAAGAATTAACGCTCGCCTTTCGCTACCGGTTCGGCGCTACGGTTCGCGCGCGCGCGCGCGCGCTTTCGCATTACGTACGGTATGTACGTAGTTACGTTAGCTACGTACTTACGTGCCATTGACGGAGCTTTGGTTACAGCGCGAGCCGTTTTGTAATAATTAATCGGTCGGCGCGACGGCTGGCTGAGGGCGAGAGCGGCTGAGCGTTTGCCTCCCCGTCGAGCCTACAAACGCCTGAAACGCGGAGCCTCCGGTTATCGTAAGAGAGGCTTTCTACAATAATCAATAAGACTTAAGGGTTATTCTTCTAACAAACGGCAGTGATTGGTCAATTTCCCTACTGCTTAAGTCTCGAACGGTTTTGTTATAAAATGACGCCTCGCTTCGCAGAACACGTGCCTGTCACCTTGAATTTGCCTGTTGTCTTGAATGTCGAATTAATCTTTGTGGCGAATAAAATTATTCCCATTAATTATTACAAAGATTGACTCAGCCGATATTAATATGGACGGCCAATGGCCGGACTTCGTGTTCGAGGGACTCTAGTCGAGCCGGATCGTCGAGGCAGGTGTCGCCGGTCGTTGAAGCATTAAGCGGATTTCTTCCCTTTTCCATTTTCCTCCCTCCTTCCCTCGTGAATAAGACAGGTTACGCTAATTAAAGATGCTTAGAAAGAAACCGTTTTAATTCTTCAAACGATACCAGTCATCCTGCCGTAATTAATTAATCCGCTGCGAGCATGGCTTCCCGTGGAATAAGGTGCCGCTTGGCCGAATGAAAAAGATAGAGAAAGAGAGGAAGGGGGGGGGGGGTAAAGGAAGACTAAAAGAAGCGCGCACACCGCGGTGTTTATATTTTAATTTGCTCGCGATCTACTGCGAGCTAAACAAAGTGTGCCGGTTAAGAACTCGCTGACTTTTTAATTTCTCAAGCTGTACCGCGCTCGCGAGCCGAGCCGCTCTTTAATAATTAATCGGCCCGCCTCAGGTAGTTCCCGTAGTGGAAATAAGGTGCGTCCCGGTCGTTCGAGCAAAAATCAACTGACATTTACATTATAAAGCGCCGCGTCCCTTCGCGACGACACGCTCGCTCACGTCTCTCTCTCTCTCTCTCTCTCTCTCTCTCTCTGTGCGCGCGACCGCGGCAAGACGCGCACGTGAAAAATGCATCGTTATCGCGGACGTAATGATAATCGCATTCACGAGCTCATTATTTCGCACGAGCGCGTCCCCATAATTAAAACAAACAAACAAAAAAAATGAAAGAGAGAGAGAGAGAGAGAGAGAGAGGATGCGCCGCACGTTCGCGTTCCGTAAAATGGAATAAACAAATTAAGCACACCGGCACCGCGCATAATCTCCCCGTTTTCGACGCGTTACTTCACGAAATTATTAAATGCAGCCCGGCAATAAAACCCGTCGCGATAAAGTGCACTCGCGCCTCATTGCAGCCCGGCCGGGCTATTTTTTCCACCCTCGCTCTCCGGATTATTACACTGCTATACTATTTCGCGAATATTCACCGCGTAAACCAGTCGAGTCCCCGCCGGTCGTCCCGCCGTCGCGGACGTCTTCGCATCCCCGCTGAAATAACGACGAGCAACGCAACTCGTCCGGAAGCTCGTCTCAAATCTCGTCTTCATCCGTTGTTTCAGGATCACAATGCGTCGGATCGCAACGCGCGTTTCCACGCTGCAGCTGATGCTGCTGGCGATTGTGATGATGTGCTGCTGCGACCTGGTGAATTCGATAAACTCGATGAAGTCGCGCGGACGGAAGAAGGCGAAGACGAACCTCTGCCACATCAAGGACCAAACGGCGCCCATGAACTGCAACTGCTTCAACCAGCATAACGGCACCGGTATCGACTGCTGGGTGGTGAAACCGTTGGCGCCCGAGGACCCGTTCTGGGAGCACTTCGCGTCGCAGACCCACCTGGAGAAGCTGTTGCTGAAGCAGCACGAGAACGGCATCCTCGACTACGTGCCCACGCATCTGTTGCACAAGCTGAAGAACCTGCGTGTCTTCGAGCTCTACTACATGCAGATAACCCAAATCGCCGAGCACACCTTCACGAATTTCTCCCTGTACGAGCTGCGCGTCACCGACAGCAAGATCAGCACGCTGCGCAATTACAGCTTCGAGAACATGAAGGACCTCGTGACCCTCGATCTCGGGAGGAACAACATCAGTACTATTGACAGGTACGAGTGAGGATTGCGATAACGATAGATAGATAGACAGGGTAGGAGATAAATACCGCTGGCGAGGTACTGGTCAAGTATCGATTTCTAGCGAATTAAAAATCTAGCGCCAGATGCCAGTACCGATTTGATACCGCTGGAATATCGAGATGTTAGCAACGGGCCCAGACTCGAACGACGATATCGTAACTCCACCGATTCCCCCCCAGTATTGTGCAAAAATACCAAAAACGATCGATTTCCAATACTAGGACGGTATCGGGAATATTACCTATTCCCAATAATGGTTATTATTGCTGTGCAATTATTGATACCACAACCGTGCCGTAAAAGGGAGGTCAGAATCTAGCCGGAGTGCTTGTTTGTATCCACGGACGTCCGCTGTTAATACCATATGAGGCGGGAAACGTCGGAGCGAGGCATACTCGGATGAAATCGAACTCGGGTCTTCCCCTCTTGTCAGCCAACCGCTTTTACCACTGCTGTTTGAGCTCCATGTTAGCGAGACCTCCTCCCGCTGCTTTACTATTTAAGGCATTGATATCGTAAACGTGAAATTCATACTTCACCACTGAATCAGTACCTCGCCAGAGTCGCCAGCGCTGGCCGAGTGTATGCGACAAAAAGGGTAGATGGATAAATATGTTCCGCTCTCTGGGAAAAACTCAAGCGCGATTTAGATGCAGTGTACACAGGGTGAGGCAATAACGATTACGACCTCCCCGAAACGGCGATTCATCGGCAATATTTGACAATTTAAGTAGTATAATTTGATAATCGGCAATATTTGGCAATTTAAAATCGTTGTAACGCAAAACGAGTTTCTTAAGAATTCTTGTTGAAACTCGCACTACACACGGATTGAAAAATTATTGGCCCGATTATTGGCGCAATTAGAAAACGATTGACCACTCGGAAGTTGAGATATTCGCAACTAAAGACGACACTTTTTACATGCACATTCCTTGAGTTTAATATCCCATTTTTAATTTCTACTTCCAATTTCTCCTAGACATTTGGGGTTTTAATAAAAAAAATTAGATACGAAGGGCCAATATAGAGACGTTATACGCAAATTTCAACTTCGTTTTAAGTTTTAAGTTGAAAATTTATTATTTAGATAGCGAAATAAATGTACAGGAACATAATTTGCCTGACAAATACTAGATTTATGAGTGGCCCCTTGACGCACCGCAGAAAATACTCCGCGATACAACTACCTTAAGTAATTTAATGCGTAAGGTAGGATTTTTTCTTTCGCGCGAGCGGCTACTGAAAAGCGACGGAATATCCAAGCACGAAAGGAAAATCTCGACAGAATTTCTGCGCAGTCTGCCGAGAGTTAACACGTTGTTAATATGCGGGAGTTAACATACTGTGCGCGAGTTACAGCTTACCAAGCGCTGAATATCGTAGGTTTTTTGCGAGCTGTGCGCAAACTTCGGGTCTTTTGCGATTCTTGCGGAATACGAAGCGGATACGAAGTTAAATCTAAAAGCAAATCATCGTTTTGATGATTCCCATTGTGATATCGCGAAGATATCTCGTCTTGAATGACCTCTGAGCATCGTCGAGAGTTAAGAGAAGTCACGGCTAGATTCATTTAATTCCTTTTGAATACGGAACACATTTCAGAGCCAAGCGATCATTGAGGCCAGAATACTTCGAGCTGTCCGACAGTCGATCGTCAAAAAAGGAAGTAACTTCTCGAAAAAGCTTCTCGAAAATCGAGGAAACGACGGGCCGAGAGACGAGTGAGATCTTATTTATTACCGTCGTCAAATTATGCAAAACAAGAAAACGAGATATTATCGTCCATTGCAACGTTTATAAGCTGTTGCTCGCGTCGAAAATATCCGAGTCGAAATTTTTAATTCCACATTAAGACTTAGATTTAGATTAAGATTTATTTGTTTTATTTAGACGGCTTATAGAGTAATAAAAATCTAATTAGATGACACTTTTTAATTTCGCTCTTGAACCTTTAATTCCACAGATTGAATTTTTGTGTCTTAATTTTTTCAACAATACATTTTGACATATTTAAAATAGCGAAAATGGAAAGACATCGTCCTGGTTAAAGAGTAGGAATTACATTATGTTATTAGAATTGAAATTGAATTTTCTATCTTGACTGCTACACAGAAGAAAATTAGTTTTAAATCAAGAATAGATATTCTTACATTTAAGTAAGAATATTATAATCTTCTCGGAAGATTTTTAATCTAGATTTGATTGAATTTTTATTAATGCAAGTGTATCACTTGCACTCAATTCAGGACTAAAAATCTTTTAAGAATATTATAATATCCTCGTTTATGTATGAGAATATCTGTCATTGTTTTAGGGCTATTCCTTTCTGTATAGTACATCGTAGAATTAAAGATTTAACGTAGGACCGAAATTTCGACTCGGACACGTCGGAAAAATTCGTCATGAACATACACAGTCGTCCGCAGCACTCGGGGGGGGTTAAATCGATTCGGTCATGCGAGCGCCTCACGACTCTCGCGGTTTCGTCTCGCTTTCGCAGAACGAAAAGAAGCGGATCGGAGTTACTCGCCCCCGTCGCGAGTCGATATAATTCTCTCACAACGAGTGAGAGAACTCATGCTTGGATTCCTGCGAACTCCCGCGCGGCGTTTCTATCGCGTGACCAAGTTCATATCGCGCGAACGGCAAGCCACCTCGGTGTGTATTTATAGTGTCGCGCAAAAGCCTCGACCGCCGCAGCGGCGAGCTGAGATTACGTTCCGCGACAATCGCGCGAAGTTCTGTCAATCCGGGGAAAGCAAAATATTCCGAATCGGGAATACACTCGGTCATCCACTCGCGTATTTTGAGATCGCCTCGGTCAAAATTGAAATTTCGCCGTTTGTCGATACACGTTCCGCCAGTTCCGCCGACTGTCAAACCCCAAAAATTAAGCGCGTAAAAATTATACGTGTTTGCTTGACTTGGATATTGTTTAACAACAAACAACATAATTTAATATCAAGCATTATTTGGTTTGAATGAAAATGTCGTTCCACTAGAGTAAACCATGTTGACCGATGAAATAAGCAGTATTATTTAGAGGCAATTTATTTATTTCGTTTTCAATAAAGGGCAAATTTATTTCAATTATTAAATACTATTCCACAAAGTTCTTTAATATTCTTCTAACATAATGTTATTTCAAATTATTTACTGTAAATATGAAAAAAAGCGACATTTTGTTAAAATTGTAGTTTCTCACGAAAACAATTGTTTATTCTATTTAAATAAAAGAATTATAGAGGTGTAAGTAAATGCTAACATTAAGTAAATATTGTCACGCTACTCACCCCGAGTGAATCTACTTTTTAGATATTCTTTCTCTCCGTGCAGTGTGACACAAAAATCCGAAACAATCTCCCGAAATACAACCCGTTTTACAACCGAGTGCATTGGTATCTACTTTTATATCTACTTTTTAGTGCAGCGAGAGTATATCCAAATGGGTAGATGCACCTGTATATATACTTTTTCCGGATTAACGGTTTTTCCTCGGAACGGTCGTCTGCCTCGGTAAAATCGCCTCGATGTTCGTATTTCGCTGAAATGCGACTTTTCTGCGAAATTATGCCCCGCTTTCTGAATATCGAGATTTTGATTTCTCGGTGGACGGCACATCGTCCACCGAGAAATCGGCTCGTACTTCGCGGCCATTGAGCTCCGCTTTTGCGCGGCGGCTCCCCCCCCCACCCCCTCCCCCGCTTTTCCTCTCTTTTTTTCTTCCCCTCTTTAACCCAAGCTCGCGTGCCTCAGCGCAGCGAGTCGTGCCGCCGCAGTCTCTCAATTATAAATTTCATTTTCGATCATCCATTAGCGCCATTATGTCCAACGGCATACGAAATTGCCATCGGACGCCTTTATCGCCGACCGGCAAAAAGGCGACGTCGCCCCGGCGTGCTCTGAGTGCTTTCGCGGAGCCCCTTCTTACGCGGGCGCGCGGAGGAGCAACCCCCTAGATGCGCGCCCTTTATAAAGCGAACGGAATGCATAGCGTCATCCCGCCGAACGCTTATAAATATGCATAGACGATGCCTTCGACGCGCGGTGATATTAACGTCGCGACGGCGACGACGACGATGAGGCTGAATACAGTCGGCGGCTGCGGCGACACATTTCTCACACGAGGAAGCTCCTTATCGCGAGCGAACGGTGCCCCCCCCCCTCTCCCCCGAAACACGCGTGTTTTGACGTTCGACGGAATTTTAAATCGCTTTTATTTACAAATTTACTTCTGCTGCGCTGAAAAGAGAGATTCATCTTGAAGGTTGAAGGGGAAGAAGGGAAAGGAATAAGTGGAATTAAAGTAGAAAAGGAGAATTAAACAAATGAGAAGGCGGTATTATGGTTCCTATTTACACTTTATACAGTAATTTTGTTAATATTTACAATTGAAAACTTAACGATTACGTTCGTCGAAGTGTTGTTCAGTCGATTCCGGACTCCAAGTTACGAAATACTTGTTACTTGGGACGTTATTTATAAAAATGTGACGGCGCTGCATAACGGATCGAAGAGAAACAGAGGTGACTTTTCACTCGCTAAAATAAATTCAAGCGATTAATTTGGTTTAAAAAAACAATGTTCCGTTAGAAATTTATACATTTATGCAAAATAAAAGTTTGGAGAGAACAACAATGAGTATAGCCGCAAATTTTTAATACAGATATTGACTTATTTATCAGAAGGTAAAAATGCAGACTGTAAAAAAGTCAGTTTCTGCAAAACGAATAAACTTTTAAACATAACTTAAATTATTCACTTATCGAAAAACTACTTTGATATGAAAGCCTTGAAAAAGAGGTGCAATGTAATCGCTAGAATTCGTCACCTAATAGCGGAGATATTAAGGAGAGCCATAAAGGCCATCATATACTATACTATCATATACTATCATATACTACCTTCTCTAATAATTTTATTAAAAAAAAAAAAAGTTCGATTATTCTTGTTCTGCGCACACCAACACCGGCGTTTCCGCTTTTATTACCTTTTATCGCCTATTTTTTCTAATAAAAAAATATTTTTTTTCTCTTCTTTTTCTTTCTTAAAAAAGCATATATATATTTTTTAATACACATTGGGACAACGCGTCAGGGAGTGTTGATATATTGGAGAGTCGCCGAGGAAAAATATGAATTTCCGACGGAGATTTATCGCATTGATTGTTCATCGTCTGCCAATAATACGCGAAGCGTATTATCCTCGCCGAATCCTTCAATTAATTAACGTTAAATTGAGATAAATTCGTGGCGCTGATTTAGTCGGCTTCAACGTGGCCTCTCTCTCTCTCTCTCTCTCTCTCTCTCTCTCTCTCTCTCTCTCTCTCTCGAATTTTTCCCTTCCACTCGCGTAAGGATTTTCCACTCCGGAGTGATCACGTTATCGTTATCGGTCTGCTTTCGACTCTCGACTGAATTACTCACGAAATTAACGTAATCTCCTCCGCCAACGTTTATTTTCCCCTGCGGCGAAGATTCGCCGTGTAAAACCGTCACTCCCAACGGCGGATGATATGCGTTTCCCGATTATTAATAATTCCGCACATCCTTCCCCGTCCGTTCCGATTAATTCGATTGTGACAAGCGCCGACTAATTTTAACTTTCAACCGTCGCGTCCCGACTCTATTTGCATTTTTATATTTAATTTCAATATTCGATAATGCGCACACGTAAGAGCCGTAAAACTTGTTACGCCTCACGACTCTCTCTTTGCTACGCTTTTCAATTATATATTTAACGTCCACTTGCCGAGTCTGCCGACTTTTTCGCGCTCATTCGCGCTTCCTGCAGTTAAGAAAGATGAAGCGTTAAAATGTCATTTGTAAAGTAATAAGTTCCTTATATATTTAATGTTCATCTCGTTTTCCCTTTTCTCCATCTCTCTCTCTCTCTCTCTCTCTTTCTCTCGCTCGTTCCTTTTCCTCATCTCCTGAAAAGTCTATCTGTCATATTGAAACTAATTACGTAATTGCATCTTGCAACAACTTTATTAAACGCTTTGATTAAAATTACACAAGGCGCACACCGCGGATCGGTTACATCTCCTTTCATCCTCGGACATCATTAAGGATCCCGTGCTAATTAATGCAACGGTTTCGCGAGGGAAACGAACAATGAACGAGGCGGTGGCGGTTCGATGAACAACCGATCGAGGAGAGACGACCTCGGGTCATTCTACGCATAAACAATGCAACGCCCTCCCCCCCTCTTATCATCTCCCTCCCCGCCCAATATTCCAGTCTATTCTATACTCGACTAGAGTCTCTCAAATTAGAGTCCGGACATGTTACGATATGTTACGACCATCTACATTCGATGTATCAATGCAGATTAAGGCTATGTAGTATTATAGTCCGTTGTTAAGTATCAAAGGACATTGAAAATGCCTCGCGACAGAAAGATCAATCCGATCAGGTTCAAAGTAACAGGACACATTCCTTTTGTCCTCAACAACTAAACCAATCAGTAAGAAGACTGAAGTGTCCAGGGAAATTCTGTACTCTATTCCACTCTACTATCTCTGTCCTTCTTTCTCTCTCTAAGCGGCGCGAAGTTATCATTCGGATGAAAAGCGAATAGAATAGGCTCCGTGGGCAACTTTCGCGAATGGAAGACACTCGCTAGCGCCGATCTGAATACGGTCGACATGAGCGTAACGAGTTTGCCGGGGGAAGTTTTCCGTTTTCGCCCCGTCGAAGACAATTCGGCGCGAGACCGTCATCGAGTTCCCTCGCAGCCGCTCGACATTAAACGGCGGACGCCGGCGAGATACCTTCCTTTGCTCTTCTCTTCTCTTCTCCGGTCTAGTTGTCTTTCACTCTAGTCCCTCGATTCGAGGCGATTCGCGACTTTAGCGCGCCTCTCTTCTTCGCCTTTGTTCTCGGCCCTCGAGTATAGTCCTCACGCCAACGTTCAGCGGCGACGCGACGTCGCGGCTATATATCGTGTGCATGAATCTTTCACCACGTTCTCTCGAGAGTTCCGAGTCACGCATAAATTGCAATTAATCTAAAAAAATGAGACTCACACGGCAAAGACGGAGCTGACGGGAGCCGGAGGTGAAAGATGAGAGATGCGTGCGTTGATATTTCATCAATCTTTCTCCGGTAATTTAATCGTCGGCTGAGTTCCGGGCAAATTATCCGGAAGTCAGCGAGGTTAAAAGAACGTGTTGATTATTTCTGTTTTTCACACAGAGATTTCTTTAGATTTAATCAAATTTCTTCGATTGAAACAATGTCTTTTGGAACAGAGCAAACGAATGTTTGATTCAATCAAGATTATTCAGTTTCTCAAACAATAAATAAATAAATATATATATATTTGTTTTTTTTTTTTTTTATATGTGCCTTCTCTATCGAACGTATTATAGATTTTTATATAATATACCGGCTCAACGTTGAGCCAACACTCACGGCCAATGTTGAGGGAACGTCGGTATTCTTGAGGGTCCTCTGAGAGTCTCCAGAACGTTTCCCATAATGCTTGCAAGCGTTTTTAGAAAATGGATATTCGAAGTTGCTTGATATCCGATTATCTTTCAGAAGATGGTGGTTGTTTAATATTTGATTATCTTCCAGAAAAACGCCGTGATTCTGAATTGCTTAACATTCGGTTATCTTCTGGAAGATTCAGTTATTCCGGATTGTTTAATATTCGATTATTTGGCAGAAGATGGTGATCGGGGTTGCTTAATATTCGATTACCTCGATACTCCGAGTGCATTTGGTTCTTACTCCCGATTTCAACGAGAAACGTGTTAAAAGAGGAGCCGCTCAGCCATACACGATATATTTAATAATATGATTTTCCGCCGCCGCTCTTTCCTCATCTCAACGAGCGCTTCTGCTTACAGGAACACGTTCGTGAACTTACCGTCCCTGCGCACTCTTTACCTCGACCGCAACCAAATCGGCGTGGTGCATGACAAGGCGTTGAAGCACCTGACCATGCTGCAGAAGCTCGTGCTGAACCACAACAAGATCCGTACTATCACCCGCGACACTTTCCACGGGCTGCACAACATGCAGCATCTCGACTTGCGCTACAACGACGTGCAGATGATCGGTGTGAGCAACTTCGCGGAGATGTCGGAGCTAAAGGTGCTCCAGCTCGACAACAATCGCATCGAGGCCATCGAGATGCACGCGTTCCAAGGTATGCGCAAGCTGCGCAGGCTCTACATCAGCGGCAACCGGCTGACGGAGCTCAAGACGGACTTCCTCGTGGGCGCGCCCCACGTACAGTTCCTCGATTTGCGTCACAACGTCCTCAAGACCATGCCCTTCGAAATCGTCAAACCGATCGTCCTCAACCTGTACAACGATAACAGCAGCTTCTACCTGAACGGTGAGTACCTTCAATTGTGCGGTGTGTTAATTACGTTATCATCTCCGCGCTCAAGTCGCGAGTATGTATCTCGATATCTTTTCGAAATATTTTCCCGTTATTATTTCCCGAGTGGAAATTTTACGGTCGTACGCACGGAGAACAATTGTTTTGCCGTTGTAGCGAGACTACACATTCTTGCTGCTGCATATTCGTCCCGACAACGAGAAAATTCGACACAATCAAATTAGCGAATCGCTCGTAATCAGAGCAGAAACGATTTTGTCGCAGGATTAGAAGAAAAATTTTGCCGAGCATGAAAAATCTGCCGTGCCAGCGAATGATTTTTCTCTTTCTTCTTCTCTTAATTGTACGCAATATTGCAAGTTTCAATTTGAATTCGGTAACGCAAGTGATTCATTACCGCGGTTTCCTTCGAGTCGAGGCTTAATAAGGAACTCGTTGAAAGCTTCGAAATTATACTTTTACATTTTTTATCTTTGCCAAATCGGGAAAGAATGTATCTCGACTGCTATTAGAGATACTGTTCCGAGTCGAAATGTTAGTCATACGTTTCTTATATTTAATATTATAAATTTCAATTTGCATTCGATGTTATAAATAGTTTCCTCCGCGTTGAGGCTTGACATAGAACTCGCTGGAAGCTTTGAAAATAATATATGAGAATTGAAAATAAATTATTTCCAGATTTCTCAGATTCCTCAGATGCAATAAGCATTTTTAGAAAAGTAATAATCCGAATTATTTGATAGTCGGATATCGCGATATTCCGCGTACATTTAATATTTATCCTTTATGCAATTCTCCAATATCCGCGTGTTAAGATAGGATCCATTGGCAGCTCTCGAAATGGTTGCAACTCCTGTAACCGTGAGCGCTTTTAGAAAATGGATGTTTGGAATAATTTAATATATTATTATCGTAATATTCTTTCCGTATGCATTTAATATTTATTTTCAATTTGAGTAAGCAACGTTAGTTAAGTTATGTAACTTAATCAGATAGAGTGCACGCGATGTGCAAATATTAAATAATCGATATTCCTTCTCCTATTTTTCTCTTTCTCCGTGTAATTTCTTTATTACTCTTTTTTTCTGACACTGGAAATTTCCCTAAAAATCGGGAATTCAGGAAGAATGACGGGGAAGGAATCGACACGGCGAAGATAACAGTGTTTAAAAACACCAACAGAGATATAAATCCGAAATCTGTTGTAACAAATCTAAAAACGGGAGAAATAAGAAGACACATAAAATTTAAGGCGACACTCACGGTCGGCGGAATTTTGTCAGAGGCATAAATCAGCATAATCAGAAGATTTCGCATTTTTTGCCGATCGCGTTGACCGCTTTTACCGACGGGCTTCGCTTCGTGCTTTCTCGGCAAGTGTCGTTACGTATCGGGCCGGCGGGCGACGCAAGTGCGAACGTTATTTTTTTCTATCTTCGTCGGACGATTAAAACACGTCATCGGTAGCTCTCAAGATGGCTGCTCCGGTCGTGCGCTCGTCGGCGTCGCGCGTGTGTGTTAGCACGTCCTATGTTATTTTAAAGTTTCGGAACACCTCGATTTTTCTCCAATATTTCCGCAGAACTGTTTGGTTTCTTCACGGGGGGAAAAAAGGGAATCTGGCGGGTTTTAAGCACGAGCACTCGTGTATTTTTCTAGAGCGAATTTTTGCACCCTTGGGACAGAAAAACCGGAGAAGAAATACGTGGAAAAATTGTGCGAAGAACCGGGGTTTTTCCGAAACCTTTAAAACCGTAGCCCGTCCCGACGATCGAATCGTAACGAGTGTCAGTGGCAGTAATGATAATGACAGTGTCAGTGAATGCGTGGAGCCAAGATGCTGGATCGGGAGAAGCCAAGATGGCGCCGACGCAGACAGCGATAATTCGTATGTTTCCGAAAGTACGTCTAATCGTTTATTACACCGTTCATAATTCCAATTTCAACGAGCGTCCGACGAACGAACTTGCCGAGAATAGGGAGATAAACCCGAGTCGAAATTTCGAAATTCCTCTGTTTCAAAACCGGCATTCGTAGATCGTTCAATAAATAATCACAACGTCGTGAATTCATGTAAATTCAACGAGAGATATCGATCCAATCAGCCGAACAACGGCGAATAAATACGATTCCGTGATTAAATTATTGTTTTCAATCGGAGATCGTGAATAACTTACGAAGTACGCGAGTCGAAATTTTGGTCCTAAACTAAATTTACTTAGTTCTACATTAAATCTTCAAGTAGAAAAACGGAAATAACTTTCTATTTGTAGCATCGAAGAAGAAGCGCTAATAGTAAAGGAAATTTGGACCCTCTCGGGGGCAAATTTTGAATTCTATATTAAGTTTTCAAATAGAGGAAACGGGAATACCTTTCCATTTATACACATATATAACATCGAAAGAAATACAAGAAATACAAGACCTTTGAAGACTTCATGTCGAACTAAATAGACTTAATGTAATATTGAAATTTCGGTTACGAATACCGGCCTGAATCTTTATTTCGCCTCTAATAATGCTGCCTGGACTGCGAGTTGCATTTCGAATCCGCGAATATCCTCTTATATTCATTTTTGTAGTCGCACCGACCCAGACAGCACGTTATCTAAAATCGGGATCATAACACGTTTTCAAGATTTTAGATGTCTGGGGAATACTCAAACTTAGATCTTCGTTGGTACAGAGCATAACTGTTATCTTCGCCTTTCCACCTCTGATCAGCTATTTTAAGAGCTCCTAACTTCTTCGGGTTTACCATCGTTGAAGAAAGAAAAACAAAATTACGAAAAAGTTATGCACGAAGGAAGTTTGTTCTTTTATTCATCCATTATTCCTGTTATCTGCTGATATTATAATTAGTTTAATATTCGCTTATATCACGTATTCTATCTGCAATTATATCATACAGTTATTATCATTTTGTCTATTGATATTAACGATAATAATAATAAAAATTCACGCATTAATAATAAAAGAAAAAAACGCGAGTAGAACATCATGATAATTGAATATTAAATAATTTTGGGGATCCATTTTCTGCAAATGCTTGAAAAAGAGAGCATCCGCAACCATCGTAGAGCTTCTAGACGGAACCGTAATATAAGAAAAGCCGTGAGTAAATACATGTACGATTATAGCTTTCCGTTGATCTTCCAAGTTCAAAAACGAAATTTGCAGGATTAATGGACAAACGAAATTTCGACTCAGAATTACTTCAGAACTGACGACAGCGTCAGTTTTTCGTTGGTTATTCTCGTCCGTACTTTTTAAGCGGACTCGGCAGACCTCGTTGAATTTAAATTTCGGAGAAATCGAGCGCTTACGCGCGGAACGCCGGTGTGAATTAATCGTTCTTTGCATGGAGAGAATTTTATGGCGAACGTCGCTTTAAAATCTTACAACACATGTTTTCTCAACGAGACAAATTCTGCCGACAGTTTATTCGTGCACTACGGGAAACGCGGTAAGATTGAAAGAAATTTATGCAGAAAAGAAGTTATAACATTCTCTTTCCGTGTGATATTACTCGCAATTGCGAATTGTGATTGCCTCGTGAAATATATTTAACATCGGGAAGGGTAAGTAACGCGGCTACGACGCCCTTCAAGCTTAGGAGGGCGACGCAGTAGCGTGGGCTAACAGCTTGTAACGAGCTAAAATAAGCGACCAGCTAATTTTGATTAATTTCAAAGACACGAAAGCTCGGCAAAGCCGTGAGCCGTGAAACGAGTCTTGCCAGAGAACGAATCGCTTCTCCGCAAGTTCAATCGCAAAGTCCCTCTTTCTCTCGCTGCGAATACTCGAAACTTAGAACGGCGTTTTGCTCGAGAATTCAAGTTGATTACACTTGACGATACAAATAACGGAGAGTTGAGGATTAACGCGCGGAAAATATACGCCCGAATATCGCTACTTCGGAGAGGCAGAAAGTAATAAAAAAAAAAAATTATGAAACGTCGATTTTAACCGGGGCGTCGATTTTAAACGCGCCGTTATGACGCTCTGAACGCCGTTAATGACCCCTCGTCGGATTAATCGGCTAAATGTATCGGATCATGCTTTTTTATTTTTATTCGTTTTCGAGCAACGCTCGCGTCTCGTTCTGCCTTTTTTTTTTTTTTAATTTTTCCACGTTTGCTTCGGCCTAGCTCGTGCGCGCATTAAACTACGTTCGTAAATTTTCAAAATGTAATGCGTTGATGGCTTTGACGTTGCCCTGGCCGCAGTGCAGGGCGGGATGAAAAATTTTTTACTGCAGCGCGAGAGTGTAAGAGGATTTCTGCCGCGTTAATGGACACGATATTTCTCGTTGTGTGTCTCGTGACGACGACGACAGCGGCGCGGTGTCATCGGCCGCCGCCGGCCGGGGCGAGAATGTGTCAGCGATCAAAGCGATTGCGGCCACGTGATTCGTTACGAATTAGGTTGTGAGCGTGTCGTCATTGCAGCGCACTGCTCTCTACGCGCGGGGTTAGGCGACTCCGGCTTCATTAGCTTTAAAGTGATACAGGCGGAAATTAGGCCTCGCAATCACTTAGGCGCGTGGAGTTAGATACGGGTCAAGATCCCAATCCCCGGAGCGACGGCTCGTCGAATTCCCGTCGGAGACGAATTGAACCGGAGAGGAAGGGCTCTCGGGGTTTCCGCCTTTTTCGGAAAATGACTCGGTCGAATCGGCAAATCCGGCGTCACAACGAGGTTCAGCGAGACTTTTAACGTTTAACAGATTAAAACTTATTACTTCTCAACTTTTCGTACGAGAGGAAGAGAGGGAAAGGTTCTTGGATTTTTTTGTTTTCTAAAAACGACGCGCAGTCGAATCGAAAACACGACTCGTACGGCAAACTTCAATGAGGACTTAATACTTACCAGGCTAACATTAATTAATTTTTGATCTTCCGTATTTGTGCAAGAAGAAAAGAGGAGGGTTCTTGGATTTTTTTCTTTCTGAAAACGACACGCGATCGAATCGAAAACTCGATTCATAC